TAAAGATTCACTATCACGCCATTTTTCAAATTTCCCAAAACTTTGTAATACCTTTAATCCTTGTCTGAAATTAAGTTCCCGTCCCCCCCCCCCCCCCCCTCCAGCGCGTAGCGCTGAAGCTTTGACGTTTTATTAAATTATATGGAAAAGGAGACGATTCTTTGTACCATCTCGACTCTTAATCCTTGTCTGAATTGAGTTCCCGTCCCCCCCCCCCCCGCGCGTAGCGCTGAAGCTTTGACGTTTAATTAAATTATAAGGAAAGGAGGCGATTCTTTGTACCATTCTCGACTCTTCCTTGTCTGAATTAAGTTTTCCCTTGCCCGTGTGATGCGCCTAAGCTTTGACGGTTCATTAAATTATTAGAGGAAGAAGACGAATCGTTTTTAACCATTCTCGTCTCTTAATCCTTCTTTGAATTCAGTTTTCTTCCCCCTCCACGCGCGAAGCGCGGAGGCTTTGACGTTTCATTAAATTATTAGAGAGAGAAGACGATTCGTTGTACCGTTCTCGACTCTTAATCCTTGTCTGAATTGAGTTCCCGCCCCCTCCCGCGCAAAGCGCGAAGCTTTGACGTTACATTAAATTATAAGGGAAAGGAGACGATTCTTTGTACCATTCTCGACTCTTAATCATTGTCTAAATTGAGTTCCCGTCCCCCCCCCCCTCCTCCAGCGCGAAGCGCGGAAACGTTGACGTTTCATTAAAGTATTAGAGAAAGAAGATGATTCGTTGTACCGTCATCGACTCTTAATCCTTGTCTGAATTAAGTTTTCCCTTGGCCGCGCGTAGCGCGTAAGCTTTTGACAGTTTATTAAATTATTATCCTTCTTTTGAATTCAGTTTTTCCCCCCCACACGAAGCGCTGAAACGACGTTTCATTAAATTATTAGAGAAAGAAGATGATTCGTTGCACCGTCATCGACTCTTTAAGCTTGTCTGAATTAAGTCCCCCCCCCCCCATTCTCGCGCGAAGCGCGGAAGCTTTGACGTTTCATTAGATTATTAGAGAAGAAGACGATTCGTTGTACCGTTCTCGACTCTTAATTCTTGTCTGAATTGAGTTCCCGCCCCCCCCCCCTCCCGAGCGAAGCGCGAAAACGTTGACGTTTCATTAAATTATTTGAGAAAGAAAATGATTCGTTTTTACCATTCTCGACTCCCAATCCTTGTCTGATTCAGTTGCCCCCCTCCTGAGCGATGCGCGGAAGCTTTGACATTTCATTAAATTATTGGAGAGAGAAGACGATTCGTTGTACCGTTCTCGACTCTTAATCCTTGTCTGAATTGAGTTCCCGCCCCCTCCCGCGCAAAGCGCGGAAGCTTTGACGTTACATTAAATTATAAGGGAAAGGAGACGATTCTTTGTACCATTCTCGACTCTTAATCATTGTCTAAATTGAGTTCCCGTCCCCCCCCCCCCTCCTCCAGCGCGAAGCGCGGAAACGTTGACGTTTCATTAAAGTATTAGAGAAAGAAGATGATTCGTTGTACCGTCATCGACTCTTAATCCTTGTCTGAATTAAGTTTTCCCTTGGCCGCGCGTAGCGCGTAAGCTTTGACAGTTTATTAAATTATTATCCTTCTTTGAATTCAGTTTTTTCCCTCCCACACGAAGCGCTGAAACGACGTTTCATTAAATTATTAGAGAAGAAGATGATTCGTTGCACCGTCATCGACTCTTTATCCTTGTCTGAATTAAGTCCCCCCCCCCCCCCATTCTCGCGCGAAGCGCGGAAGCTTTGACGTTTCATTAGATTATTAGAGAAAGAAGACGATTCGTTGTACCGTTCTCGACTCTTAATTCTTGTCTGAATTGAGTTCCCGCCCCCCCCCCCCCCCCCCCCCTCCGAGCGAAGCGCGGAAACGTTGACGTTTCATTAAATTATTTGAGAAAGAAAATGATTCGTTTTAACCATTCTCGACTCCCATCCTTGTCTGAATTCAGTTGCCCCCCTCCTGAGCGATGCGCGGAAGCTTTGACATTTCATTAAATTATTGGAGAGAGAAGACGATTCGTTGTACCGTTCTCGACTCTTAATCCTTGTCTGAATTGAGTTCCCGCCCCCTCCCGCGCAAAGCGCGGAAGCTTTGACGTTACATAAATTATAAGGGAAAGGAGACGATTCTTTGTACCATTCTCGACTCTTAATCATTGTCTAAATTGAGTTCCCCGTCCCCCCCTCCTCCAGCGCGAAGCGCGGAAACGTTGACGTTTCATTAAAGTATTAGAGAAAGAAGATGATTCGTTGTACCGTCATCGACTCTTAATCCTTGTCTGAATTAAGTTTTTCCCTTGGCCGCGCGTAGCGCGTAAGCTTTGACAGTTTATTAAATTATTATCCTTCTTTGAATTCAGTTTTTCCCCTCCCACACACGAAGCGCTGAAACGACGTTTCATTAAATTATTAGAGAAAGAAGATGATTCGTTGCACCGTCATCGACTCTTTATCCTTGTCTGAATTAAGTCCCCCCCCCCCCCCCCCCCACCCTTCTCGCGCGAAGCGCGGAAGCTTTGACGTTTCATTAGATTATTAGAGAAAGAAGACGATTCGTTGTAACCGTTCTCGACTCTTAATTCTTGTCTGAATTGAGTTCCCGCCCCCCCCCCCCCTCCCGAGCGAAGCGCGGAAACGTTGACGTTTCATTAAATTATTTGAGAAAGAAAATGATTCGTTTTACACATTCTCGACTCCCAATCCTTGTCTGAATTCAGTTGCCCCCCTCCTGAGCGATGCGCGGAAGCTTTGACATTTCATTAAATTATTGGAGAAAGAAGACGGTTCGTTGTACCGTTCTCTATTACACCTCCATGGATAAATCACGGCCGGAGCGTCATAATTTTGTGTTATCGGGCGAGGGCCGCGGCCGAGGAGGCCAAGGCGTAGCGACCAAGCGAGATTTTGCAATGTTGAATGCTGAAATTATGCATTCTAAAAAATTCCTAAGCCCGATATGTACGTTCTTTCTTTCCGCTATATTTATTCTAGCTATATTTCTAAATTTCCTGGGAGACTTGTCCCCATATCGGGCCTAGGATCGCCGCCCCCTGTCCATGATTACTACCAACATGAGTTCTAATACAATCACAAGTCGATACGAGCTGAATCCAAATGAAGGGCAAAATAAGAGTTGTGAAGCGGCCCTACCGTTAATTTAAAATTTGAATGTGGAGTATATAACTTCTATTTAAAAGACATCCAAAATATTGTGCCCTTTTCAAATTTCTCACTAAAGAGTGATGACCGCAGGGGCTGTTTTTAACGTTTAACTTTGAATCCGCGGCTCGATCGAGATTTTATATGCGGCCGGCCCGGCCCCCCTCTATTCAATAACGTTTGCCAATGAGCCTTCTGGAATGTCCCCTAATCTCCCGATTACAGTTTTCCCATATTTGTCGTTACTGTCACTTAGCGCCATTTCCTTGCCTTTCCCCCTTTCTCACCGACTTTTCTTTTCCCCCACCCCCCCCCCCCTCTCACCCTCTCAGTGTTATCTAGGGTACGCACATGTATGTTCCCCAGGCGCGTACACAGTGGGGGGGGGGGGATTAGGGGGTTACCCCCCCCTTTAGTAATTTTTTGTGAGTAAACCCCCCTAAATTTCTCTAAACCCCCCCCCCCCTTTTTGGATTTTTTTTTTTATTTTTTTTTTATTAAAAAAAAATAAAAATAAAAATATTCCCATGGTTGACCTCTTAGCCCCCCTCCCCCCCCCCCCCCCCCCCGCTTTTTCAGCGGTCGGCTGAGTCGTTGCGATTTTTTTGGGACCAAAAAAAACAAAAAAAAGTGACCTCTTACCCCCCCTATTAACCTCCGCCGCTGCGCTGGCTGAGTCGTTGCGAAATTTTCGGCCCGATTTATAAATGTTAAAACCCCCCCCCCCCCCACCCCCCCCCTTGAAAAAATCCTGCGTACGCGCCTGATGTTTCCTCTCTTTGAAAGCACCCCTCTGTCTCCGGTGTGTAAAGTCAGTACGGGCCGGATTTTTGTGTATTGCGGGCCGGACTTTGTTTCGTGAAAAGTAACTCTTTATCGGAAATTTAGGGAACACAAATTCGGTCCCTCCGACCCCGGAGTTGGAGGGAGGGGGGGGGGGGGCTTTTAGTTTATCTTTTCTCTTCTATTTTCTTTTCTCTTCTTTTTTCCTTTCTCTTCTCCTTTCTTTTCTCTTCTCCTTTTTTTTTCTCCTCTTCTCCTTTCTTTTTTTTCTCTCTTTTTTTCTTCCTCTTTTTTTTCTTCCTTTTTTTTTGCGCCGCCAATAGGGGGGGCCGCGGCGTTTCGGCCCCCCCCCCTGGATCCGCCACTGGTGTGGACTCCATGCATGCATGCATTGAGAACGTGTTTGGTTGTGTTAAATAGAGCTTTAAAAGATATCCAAAGAAAAACCTAAAATCACCATAGGTTTGGATTAACATGAAGGACAACAAAAAGATCTTCAAGTTGATTTAAAATTCATTGAATTTAATGTGTATAACATAAATTTTGAGCCGAAAATGTGCTAGTTTTTTTTTTGTGGAGAAATTTTGGGCCGAAAATGTTTTTTGTTGTGAATAAATTTTGGCCAGCATTATTTCGTTTTATTAAGTAGACGATAGTAGTGAGGGTAGTGAGCACTATTTTTTTTTTTTTCCTCCCGAAAATTTGAAAATTTGCACCCCCCCCCCCTTGAGCCCCAAAAGGTAAAAATCACGTGCTTTTACATGTTTTTTTTTCAAGGGGGGGGGGGGGGCCTCCTGGATCCGCCACTGCCTCCACCTAAGTATGAATTATACGTGAGCTCTATAAATGATTTTGTTTATCATACAAAATAACTACTAGTAATCGACAATAATGTGCTTATCCTTGTTATGTAACCGTTGTGTCCTATTTTCAATTCCAGATTATTGGCCGTCTGTCTAGACGTGGACACACTTTGGGTATGGGCAGTGCGTACGTACGTACGTACGTAGCTAACTCTGTGCATAATAATGATCCTTGCAGTATGTACGTACGGCGCGCACGCAATTATTAGCCATTCGTTTTTCAAGATTCTTTGGTGAAGGAGTGAGAGAAATCTCGGCTTGTTAAAAAGCCAAATGTCCGTCACTTTTTCATCTGTGGTTGTCCCTGTAATTCGCCAACATTCCGTCGTTTAAGAATACCCGTGTTAGTTCGACTGAACTGTCAGTCCAGGTGAGTATTTTTAACCTTTTCTGTGTTTTTATCTGTACTTCTTTGGCAAATCCGAAGACGAAGTGAGCCAAGGCCCAAGCCTCTCCACGTTAATTGTCGTAGCATGCATGACAATACCAGATTGTGTAGCCTCCAATAATGTCACGATTTTCAGGCAAAATTATTCGAAGAATCGTGTACTTATATTGACCATTTTGTTCTTTGATATGTTCTTATGTTAATATTTAGCGAAGTAATACATGATGATAACTATAACTGTATAAAGGAAAATAATGTGGTGATTAGCGGGTGATTTGCTAACTAGTTATGTGACCGGAACTATTTTACATTCGCACATGCACGCACATGTACCGCGTATACGTACGTGGATAGTCTCTGTACACGCCGCGAATACGGTTTACATGCAAGCCAATGAATAAGGCCCTCTCAAGTGCAAGGGGGGGGAGGGGTTATCTAGATATCTGGATGTGTACGATGCAGCAGGGCCCTACTGCCACTGGGCATAAACGCACCGGTAGAGAGAGAGAGAGGCAATTTATATTTATGGGAGACTATTTCCTGAAATTGGGAAGACTCTACAAAGTCCAATGCCAGAGATTTTTTGTCAAGATTTCAAATTGGAAATTGACTAACTAGGCCCTACAAAATCTGTATGCTCAAAATGTAAATATGAACTAATTCCTCATGCAAAATTAACACTTTTGACTACTTAAAAAATTCAAAATATTGTAGTGGTACGTTGAGTTGGGCAACTCATTTGATCTAAAGGGGGCGCTAGAGCCCTAGAATAGAAGAGCCGGGCTGGGTTGATTAATTGTACGATTATTAGTTTGACTTGGTATACACCTAAAAGTTAAATAGCATTAATTATGTTTCCAATAGTATGCCAGGAACGGTTAAACTAGCCTTAAGGGCTCCCTCGAAATGTTTTTTATGATATTATTCGAGGGAGCCTTAATTTGCTCCCATAGGGTCCCATGGAACGGTAGGTAAACAACATCTAAAATGTGTCCAAACTCACACTTTCCAACACCCGATTAATATTGGACAGTTGCTTTGATAAATTGTATGGGACTTTTTACGTGTACCGTGTGAATTCACGATCTCTACACAATGGTGATGACCTCTGACTGGCACTTCGTAAATGTGCTGCTTCCGTATAATGCGCTGAATAACACTCAAAAGAAAAAAATAAAATGTCACTTAAAGGTGAAAATATGTTCTCTATTGTACTAGTTGTAGCTGTAGGCAGGTTTGTCTTTTTAATGCAGATGGTTGCTAAAGCAGGTTTCACTTTATTTCAGTCTGGTCCTTTTTACAAATGCTCTATTGTTGTATCAGACAAGGCCATTAAATGGATGACATTGATGTAGTCTTTATTTTGTGTAAAGTCATATTCTTCTTTGCCGTTTAATTGTTATTTCAATATTTTTAATATGTTTTCTTTAGTATCTCTCACTTTTCCTGTCTTTTTTTTCTTGCGCTTAGAAATATTGTATTAAGTGCTTTATAAATATAATGTATTGTTATGATTATTCCAGGGTGGACATTGTAACAAGTACTGGAGCACTGAGCCAGGTGGAGCTCTCTACCGACCGAGACCAGCTAGACGTTAACTTTGAGCCCGAGTGGGAGCCCAGCTGATATTTACTGAGATTAGTCTGGTTCCAGTTTGCTGTGTAAGTATTCTGTATATCAGGTTTCATGTACATAATTGCAGGAGAAGTGAAATGTGATTCACCTGTGAATATTGTCCCGTTATGAGACAGCAATGAGAATGATAATTGGTTACTCAATGATTGATATTGATTGTAGAGCGAGTGTCTATTTAACAGAATACAATGTGCATCGATTGCTATTAGTGGGTAGTATGTTTCAAGGATCAATTTTATTTATTAGTCATTTATGAAAACAAATATTTTGCATGATTATTCTACTGCTCAAACTGTTTTTCTCAGTTGTGGAAAGAGTGTTAATGAATTTTTGATTCAGTCAAATGGTACTGAAATTTAAGTTGCAAAGAGGTGTGTGTAGTGATTGGTGAGAGATCATGCAATATCTGTTCCTCGTTTCTTATTCATCGCAGGAATAATAATCAGATTTGAGTAATTTATTCATCACATCCAAATAACCCAAAGTAAAGTTATTGGCCTTGATTTCTGACCTATGTTAACTTTATTTTCAAATTATTTCATTGCAGCCTCCTTCGAATTTCCTAACATACCTCCTGACTTGGCCTCACACATTGGACTATTTAGCTACCTATTTTGCTCAGCATTCTTAAAGGAACTCTTTTATAATAATGGAACAACTTAGTGCTGACAGTTTTAGGACCGAGCTTTATGATAGCTCAGAGATGACTCTCAAGGATATCATTGAATCCAAGATCAACGATCCCACGATGCGAGAGGTATGTACTAAATTACATTGTATTCATCATCATCAATAGTGATCTGTCAGTTTATGACAGGTTCAGTGACCCAATCAGAATTCTATATCAAGTGTCTCTCCAAGTACCCCGGTCTTGAGCCATCCGTTTTAGCATGTCATATCCTGTTGCTCCCACGTTCAACCTTCTATGACTCCGATCATCAAGCCATTGTATTGTTTGACGCAAATTCAATAGTTACTGTTGATATCCCAAGTTTCCAACAGAGGGTTTTGTAAGGCATAGTTGGGACCAGGGTATCCAAAGTCCATTTATAAAACCCTTGGGGCTTATATGTCTAGTTACATCCTTATTCAGTTTTAACACTTTATTCAAGTAGCAATTTATTATTAAACTTTGAAAATTAACAACCAATTTGAAAGAATTCAGTCTGTTAGCTCTTTCAAAAAAAATTCTGTATAAGCTTTATGATAAAAAAAAAAGAAGGTTGATGACTTGTTTTAAAACGTTTCTCTCATCATAATGGACATGTTAAAGGGAATACAATGCTCTGAAATACATGTGCATGGTATTAAAAGTGACCTATAAATTGCATGCATTTCATTTATAGGATGCGGATGATGCCTTTTTCATCGGTGATCTTGGCGATATCATCCAGAAGCATCGCAAGTGGCTCCGAAACCTTCCCCGAGTGGAGCCCCATTATGGTAAGAAAAACAAACCACTATTTTATTGTTTCCAATGAGCTCCTGCAGCATCAATTTGCAATTTGATTTGAAGCTTTGTTCGATTTGGGGGCACCTTTATGTGGCAAGTCATTATTCATAAAGTGGTTATGGGTATTTAAAAAAATGTGATGACGAAACGATACATGATTTGAAAGATTTATTGGTTTTCATGAGAATTCTGAAATCTGTGACAGATTCCCTCTTTGTAGTGTTTTTGTAAAGGAAGAGAGGGAGTCAGAGACCTTAGTTCAAGTATTTCATTTGTGGACCCAGAGAGAAAATAAAAAGATAATATTATTGCTTAGTACTCTGGACAAAGCAGTCATCGAAAAATCTGTTGATAGTGAAGTCTGTATAATACTAAATACCAATATACATGTATGAATTGATAGATTTTTGAATAGCTGTGTTAATAATTGGGATGAACCATGGCAATGTATTGAAAAGTATTACTAGTACATGTTCACAAACAATGATCATCTACCATATGTTGTTTTTATATATGCTTGCTGAGTTTCTGGCTTCATTAATTTCGTCCACATCTCCTGCATAAATGGGAGATGTTTTTAACATATTTGCAGGTATCATGACACAATACACATACACTTTTCCACCAGATAATACACTTCATTTCTGCTGTGTTTGTGTGGTTGTTTTTTATTAACAGCGTGAAATGCAATCCAGATCTTCATGTACTGAAGCTTCTGTCGGGCCTCAACTTGGGTTTTGATTGTGCCAGCAAGGTAGTAGACACAGTGATTAAACACACTTAATCCCTACCTGTATTTTATTCACATTTTCTATAGGCCTGTCCTCATCAGCTCAAGATTGCCAAATAGCCCGCTATTTCTGATTTGAGAAATAATCCCAAAGTTACAAATCACGTCCTTATCAGCTCGAGACTTGACCTAGAAACTTTAAAAAACTCGAGCTCGAGAAATTAGCTCGATATATCGTGAAGCCGCATCCGACAAATATCTGGATAATTTGCCAAAAAGCAGGATATTTTGCAAACTATCCCAAGATATCTTGGGATGATCATCTCAACCAAATATCCCGCTTATTGCAACTTTGGGCTGACGAAGACGTAAATCAACTGGATAATTTGCGATCGGGATAGTTCAAACAGCGGGATATTTGGCAATCTCGAGCTGATGAGGACGGGCCTTATGAGGCTTTGTGCTCAAGATGATAGCCAGGCTGCATTATTGATTCCCACATAACAATCTTTAAATAATCTTTATCTTCTGAGAGCTCCTTTTTGTGATTTTTTTTTTACAAGAAAAGAAGAAAAGTCTTGAGCAATAATGAGTTGTTTTGCAGATTTCGGAGCTGATTAACTCTACCCTACTGCTGTATAGTAAAAGGAAGATCTTCTTTAAAAAAAACAATAGTTGGCTTTATTTGATTAATATCACAGACACTGAATGCAGATTTTTAATTCAAAAGGACGAATGTACTGCTTACTGTAGTGGTAAATTAACTAGAATAAGTTATAAAAAGCTCCCCAGTACAACTTGGACCTGTTTCACAAAGCCTTCTTTCAATGATAAATAACAAAATCAGTGACAAATCTGCTGATAACCAATCAGAAGCAAGGATTTCAGTAGCATATAACAAAAACTGTCGTTTGTCACTGATGACAAGTTTTGTAAAACACCCCCCCTGGATAGGGAAGTCTGAATTCTTCTGCTTTTATGATTGATAATCCGGCTGCCTAATCGGCTACGTGTGCATTTAGTTGTTCAAATTAATTTCATCAGATGAAGTTTCATTGGGCCCGGTTTAGAATTTAATGAGGTAATTAAGACCTGAAATTATATTGAGTAAATAAATTTGTCTGTAGTACCAACAAAATAGGCATCAAATATATCAGAGTTATAAAGAATTACTATCATTCCAATTTTCGAAATTTCCCAAAACTTTGCATTCCCTTTAGCTACAATAAGTCATTAAAAGCTCCCCAGTACAGCTGGATAGTGAAGTCTTAATTTCCTGTGCTTTTATGATTGAAAATCCAGCTGCCTAATCGGCTACGTGTGTATTTAGTTGTTCAAATTAATTTCATCAGATGAAGTTTCATTGGGTCTAGAATTTAATGAGGTAATTAAGAGCTGAATGTATATTGAGTAAATACAATTTGTCTGTAGTACCAACAAAATAGGCCCGTAGTACCAGCATACAATATTTCTGTTTTAATGAGAAAATGCTTCAGTTAATTTTTATGGTAGCTCAGCTAAAGCTGGGGTAATATGATATGATTGCAGGGCCCTTGGGGAGAACAGTATGAGTATTGATGAGGCTACTCTAATATTACATTTTTGTAAAGGGATATTGAAATAAATGCCCCAAATCAATGATTATAAAAATGAATGTGACACACTCTAATTTAAATTCTTTTCAAGGAGTGTTCTGCTTTCTGTATTCGTTAATCATGCGTACATCTTCCTCCATATATGTACCCTATTTCTCTGTGTACTTTTTGACAACTTCTCCTCTGTCTTTGAAAATTTTACTTACAGTGTATACCAGTGAACTGGGGGTGTTTCACAAAACTTGTCATCAGTGACAAATGACAGTTGTTGTAATAAGCTACTGAAATCCTTCTGATTGGATATCAGCAGATTTGTCACTGATATTTATCATTTGTCATTGAAAAGACACTTTCTGAAATGGGTCCCTGATCTATCTGATACCACAAGTTGTCAATTAAAAACTTTTTTTCCCCTTATTCTCCATTCATCCCATAGAATGAAATCCAGCAGGTTCTCAAGATTGGTGTGTCTCCATCCCGCATCATCTTTGCTAACCCCTGCAAGCAGCGCTCTCATCTCAAGTACGCGGCCGATAACGATGTCCGTCTCATGACGATCGACAACGAGGCAGAGCTCATCAAGATCAAGAAGATCTTTCCCCATGCCAAGTATGTACAGTCAAACCTGCTTTAGTAACCACCTGTCTATGAAGACCACCTGTCTTCAAACAAGCACATTTTTTGTTTCCCTTGAAAATGGTTTCTCATTGAACATGTACTAAAGAAACCTGTCTACAAAGACCACCTGTCTATAACAAGCACAGTTTTGTTTCCCCTGGGCGGTTTGCTGTAGACAGGTTTGACTGTATTACCACTAGTACTGTCTTATCAGTCATCTTTCAATTACAGCTTGAATGTGGCTTATTACTGTGTGGGTTGGGTTATTTAAACGATTATGTGATTTCGATTCCATGGGACGGCATGCAAGAGCTATAAACAGAAATTGCTGTTAGCACGTTCTTCCTTTTATTCATAATTTATCCAGAATTATTTAAGTGACTAAGTTACATTGTTGGAGGTTGAAAAAACTACGTAATTTTTGTTCTATTTTTGTTTTTTTATTCTTTTTACTGAATTAACTCTTTAACATGCAAAACTTCTTGAAAAATTATCAACCCACAAAGATATCTATGGTTTTCTTTGAAGGTGTCACTGTGCGACACCCTTGCCCAGTCCCTTGTTGATATGATGAATTGGAATGAATAGGAATTGCCGTCTGAATTACAACATGATGATTCCATCCAACACTGATCAACACAACCTCTTTGTATTTACATCCCCTCTTTCAGATGACCTTACTAGTTATTCTTTACATGTCTTCTTTGATTTTGTGTACTGTAAAATAAATTCAGCCTAAATTTTTTTCATGAAAATAAGACATACATGTACAGGCTTTTAAAAATCTTTCAACATTTAAATGCCTAGAATGGTATATTGAGTCAATTCATTTAATTAAAACATAATAATGTAGTCGGGAGAATTCAGGATGCGATCAGATCAGTTTTTCCCAATTTGTATCATTAATGATGGTCCGTTTTCACTCCAACTTTCAGATTATCTTTAATTGTACATCTAGCATTGAATTCGCTACCTTGGCACCATTTTCTCTCATCTTAACAATGTTACCAAGTTCTTTAAAACCAACTTGTTATCAGTGTGGACTTACCTGTCACACATCTCTGATGTTCATGGGTACAAAACGAAGAATGAACAATGGAGGCGCGATAGCTCAGTTGGTAGAGCAGTGGTCTCGTAATCCGGTGACCCGGGTTCGAAACCAAGTCGATGCGCTAGTGCCCTTCGGTAAGGCATTAATCCTCATTGCCAAGTCCCTCGGATAGGACCTAAAGCAGCTGTCAGCCGTCTGGTTGCTTACTTACAAGCGTTTATGCTTTCTTAACAGTCGGGTTAAATAACCACCACCACCAACATATCTTTGTCTTATTACCTTACAGGCTTGTGCTTCGTATCCTAACGGATGATTCCACCGCCCAGTGTCAACTGGGTCTTAAGTTTGGCTGTCACCCCCGCCACGCCCCTGCTCTGCTCCGCTTTGCCCAAGACTTGGAGCTTGATGTTGTTGGAGTAAGGTAAGAATAAGGAGCTGCCCTTGAGTTTCATTGCCACATAATCTATCACCCTGGGTCACATTCAGAGCTGCCAACCTTGTGCAACCCCCCAAAAAGGGATTCATTAAAGCTTAACAACCACTGGTAAACAAAGGGGAAATTATGTTTATATTGGACTTCCAGCTTATGTCAAAATATAATTTATATCAAATCGCTTTAAATATTTCCTCAACTACTGCAAAGGTATAACCAGAGTAAAACCACCTTTTTGGCTTGTTCTCTTTTTGTTGCTGATGACAGCTTCCATGTTGGCAGTGGATGTCGCGACCCCATGACCTACGTAGATTCGATCCGCAATTCCAAGGAGCTCTTTGACTTCGGCAATGACCTTGGATTTAAGATGAACCTCCTAGACATTGGAGGGGGCTTCCCCGGCCAGGAATCTGCACCAATCAAATTTGAGGAGGTGAGTAGCCAACTAGATTGGTTTCATGAATCTAAAGTCATTAAATTACTGAATTCTCCTAGTCCAAATGGCTTGATAAAAGAACCATCTAGTTCTTGAAAGTGATGACTTACAGAACATGTTGAAGTTAAGTCCAACAACATCTTTGGCTACAATAACTGCAAAGAATTTAAGTATGGGGCTCCAACTTGTTCAGGCCCTTACTTGCTAATCAATTAAAGACTTGGAAGTCTGCACCAATTCATTCCTCACGTGTTTCTAGAAAGAGCAACATGTTGCTGTTGATCCAACTTTCGGATGATTTCTTTTTTAGTCCATTGTCATGTCATGGTAAGGGAATGGAAGGTCCTGGGTTCAAAACATAGTTGATGAAACTAGTGTCCTTTGATAAGGCATGTATCATATGATTTATGTACTATGTTTTGTTATGCCTCCGCCACCGAAGGTGGTGCCGGAGGCATCATGTTTTCGGGTTGTCCGTCCGTACGTCCGTCCGAGTTTGCGATGGTATGCTTGTGTGTTTAGTTTTACGTATGAGATATCCTTGTGTGTCACTTTAGACTTGTGTGTCTAGCCACACAAGAAAACTATCATATTCAGTGTCTAAGATGTCTGACATGTCATTTCTAATCAACTAAGATTTAGTCACACAAGAAAAAATTTTCCCAAAAAAAGGCCCAAAATAAATGTCCAAATTTTAGAGAGGGGTTGTGTCCAAGTAGCTAAACGGAATAGTGCCATCTACAGTTGACATCCAGGTAGCTAGGTACTATGCGCATCTACAGTACTTGTGTGTGTGTGTGTGTGTGTGACTTGTTAGTGTGTAGTATTTGTAAGCAAAGTAGTAGGCAGTGTATGGCTCTGTGTATGTGTGTGTCATGGGTGGATGGTTTTGTGTGTGCAGTGTATATAATACATGTAATGTTTTTTTATGCCACACAAGCCTTAATTTTCTTGAATTGGACAGGGGTAGACAATAATGTCGTTCTGCCACACTAGCCTTAATTTTCATGACTTGGACAGAGGTTTATAATACATGTAATGTCTTTCTGCCACACAAGCCCTAATTTTCTTGACTTGGACAGGGGAAGATAATAATGTCTTTCTGACACACAATCCTTAATTTTCTTGACTTGGACTGGGGTAGATAATAATGTCTTTCTGCCACACAAGCCTCTATTTTCTTGACTTGGACAGGGGTAGACAATAATGTCTTTCTGCCACACAAGCCTTAATTTTCATGACTTGGACTGGGGTAGATAATAATGTGTTTTAGCCACACAAGCCTTAGTTTTCTTGACTTGGACAGGGGTAGACAATAATGTCGTTCTGCCACACAAGCCTTAATTTTCATGACTTGGACAGAGGTATAATACATGTAATGTCTTTCTGCCACACATGCCCTAATTTTCTTGACTTGGACAGGGGAAGATAATAATGTCTTTCTGACACACAAGCCTTAATTTTCTTGACTTGGACTGGAGAAGATAATAATGTCTTTCTGCCACACAAGCCTTAATTTTCATGACTTGGACAGAGGTATATAATACATGTAATGTCTTTCTGCCACACAAGCCCATTATTTTCTTGACTTGGACTGGGGTAGATAATAATGCCTTTCTGCCACACAAGCCCTAATTTTCTTGACTTGGACAGTGGTACAGGTATATAATACATGTAATGTTTTTATGCCACACAAGCCTTAATTTTCTTGACTTGGACTGGGGTAGACAATAATGTTTTTCTGCCACACAAGCCTTAATTTTCTTGACTTGGACTGAAGTAGATGACAATATCTTTCTGACACACAAGCCTTAATTTTCATGACTTGGACAGAGGTAGACAATAATGTCTTTCTGCCACACAAGCCTTAGTTTTCTTGACTTGGACTGGGGTAGATCACAAAATCTTTCTGACACACAAGCCTTAATTTTCATGACTTGGACAGAGGTATATAATACATGTAATGTTTTTTTATGCCACACAAGCCCCGATTTTCTGGACTTGGACAGGGTAGACAATAATGTCTTTTTGCCACACAAGCCTTAATTTTCTTGACTTGGACAGGGGTAGATAATAATGTCTTTCTGCCACACAAGCCTTAATTTTATTGACTTGGACTGGGGTAGATGACAATATCTTTCTAGCAACACAAGCCTTAATTTTCTTGACTTGGACTGGGGTAGACAATAATGTCTTTCTGCCACACAAGCCCTAATTTTCTTGACCTGGACAGTGGTACAGGTATATAATACATGTAATGTTTTTATGCCACACAAGCCTTAATTTTCTTGACTTGGACTGGGGTAGACAATAATGTCTTTCTGCCACACAAGCCTTAATTTTCTTGACTTGGACTGGGGTAGATAATAATGTCTTTCTGCCACACAAGCCTTAAATTTCATGACTTGGACAGGGGTAGACAATAATGTCTTTCTGCCACACAAGCCTTAATTTTCTTGACTTGGACTGGGGTAGATGACAATATCTTTCTGACACACAAGCCTTAATTTTCATGACTTGGACAGAGGTAGACAATAATGTCTTTCTGCCACACAAGCCTTAATTTTCTTGACTTGGACTGGGGTGAATGACAATATCTTTCTGACACACAAGCCTTAATTTTCTTGACTTGGACTGGGGTAGATGACAATATCTTTCTAGCAACACAAGCCTTAATTTGTTTGACTTGGACTGGAGTAGATAATAATGTCTTACTGCCACACAAGCCTTAATTTTCATGACTTGGACAGAGGTATATAATACATGTAATGTCTTCCTGCCACACAAGCCCATTATTTTCTTGACTTGGACTGGGGTAGATAATAATGCCTTTCTGCCACACAAGCCCTAATTTTCTTGAATTGGACAGTGGTACAGGTATATAATACATGTAATGTTTTTATGCCACACAAGCCTTAATTTTCTGGACTTGGACTGGGGTAGACAATAATGTTTTTCTGCCACACAAGCCTTAATTTTCTTGACTTGGACTGGGGTAGATGACAATATCTTTCTGACACACAAGCCTTAATTTTCTTGACTTGGACAGAGGTATATAATACATGTAATGTTTTTTTTATGCCACACAAGCCCTAATTTTCTTGACTTGGACAGGGGTAGACAATAATGTCTTTCTGCCACACAAGCCTTAATTTTCTTGACTTGGACAGGGGTAGATAATAATGTCTTTCTGCCACACAAGCCTTAATTTTCTTGACTTGGACTGGGGTAGATGACAATATCTTTCTAGCAACACAAGCCTTAATTTTTTTGACTTGGACTGGAGTAGATAATAATGTCTTACTGCCACACAAGCCTTAATTTTCATGACTTGGACAGAGGTATATAATACATGTAATGTCTTCCTGCCACACAAGCCCATTATTTTCTTGACTTGGACTGGGGTAGATAATAATGCCTTTCTGCCACACAAGCCCTAATTTTCTTGAATTGGACAGTGGTACAGGTATATAATACATGTAATGTTTTTATGCCACACAAGCCTTAATTTTCTGGACTTGGACTGGGGTAGACAATAATGTTTTTCTGCCACACAAGCCTTAATTTTCTTGACTTGGACTGGGGTAGATGACAATATCTTTCTGCCACACAAGCCCTAATTTTCTTGACTTGGACAGTGGTACAGGTATATAATACATGTAATGTTTTTATGCCACACAAGCCTTAATTTTCTTGACTTGGACAGGGGTAGACAATAATGTCTTTCTGCCACACAAGCCTTAATTTTCATGACTTGGACAGGGGTAGATAATAATGTCTTTCTGCCACACAAGCCTTAATTTACATGACTTGGACAGGGTTAGACAATAATGTCTTTCTGCCACACAAGCCTTAATTTTCTTGACTTGGACAGGGGTAGACAATAATGTCTTTCTGCCACACAAGCCCTAATTTTCTTGACTTGGACAGGGGAAGATAATAATGTCTTTCTGACACACAAGCCTTAATTTTCTTGACTTGGACTGGAGAAGATAATAATGTCTTTCTGCCACACAAGCCTTAATTTTCATGACTTGGACAGAGGTATATAATACATGTAATGTCTTTCTGCCACACAAGCCCATTATTTTCTTGACTTGGACTGGGGTAGATAATAATGCCTTTCTGCCACACAAGCCCTAATTTTCTTGACTTGGACAGTGGTACAGGTATATAATACATGTAATGTTTTTATGCCACACAAGCCTTAATTTTCTTGACTTGGACTGGGGTAGACAATAATGTTTTTCTGCCACACAAGCCTTAATTTTCTTGACTTGGACTAAGGTAGATGACAATATCTTTCTGACACACAAGCCTTAATTTTCATGACTTGGACAGAGGTAGACAATAATGTCTTTCTGCCACACAAGCCTTAGTTTTCTTGACTTGGACTGGGGTAGATGACAATATCTTTCTGACACACAAGCCTTAATTTTCATGACTTGGACAGAGGTATATAATACATGTAATGTTTTTTTATGCCACACAAGCCCCAATTTTCTGGACTTGGACAGGGGTAGACAATAATGTCTTTTTGCCACACAAGCCTTAATTTTCTTGACTTGGACAGGGGTAGATAATAATATCTTTCTGCCACACAAGCCTTAATTTTATTGACTTGGACTGGGGTAGATGACAATATCTTTCTAGCAACACAAGCCTTAATTTTCTTGACTTGGACTGGGGTAGACAATAATGTCTTTCTGCCACACAAGCCCTAATTTTCTTGACCTGGACAGTGGTACAGGTATATAATACATGTAATGTTTTTATGCCACACAAGCCTTAATTTTCTTGACTTGGACTGGGGTAGACAATAATGTCTTTCTGCCACACAAGCCTTAATTTTCTTGACTTGGACTGGGGTAGATAATAATGTCTTTCTGCCACACAAGCCTTAAATTTCATGACTTGGACAGGGGTAGACAATAATGTCTTTCTGCCACACAAGCCTTAATTTTCTTGACTTGGACTGGGGTAGATGACAATATCTT